ACTCTCACTTTGCTGAGTGTTTTTTTTTTTTACCATAAATGAGTGCTGTGCTTTATCAAATGCTTTATTAGTGTCATTAAATGTGATCATGGGATTTTTGTCTTTTCTTTTTTTTTTAATCTGATGTATTGCATTTATTGATTTGCAAATATTGGACCATCCTTGTTTACCTGAGATGCAAACCACTTGATCAGAGTGTATGATCCTCTTAATGTATTGCTGGATGCAGTTTGCCAATATTTTGTTGAAAATTTTATCATGTACGTTAATCAGGGGTATCGGTCTGTAGTTTTCATTCTTTGTTCTGTCCTTATCTGCTTTTGGGATTAGGATGACCCCAAAAGTAGGATGATCCTCATAAGTAGAGATTGGGAGTATCCCAGCCTTTTTTTAAAAAACAAATAGTTTGAGGAGGGTAGGGGGTATCTCTCTCTTGAATATTTTTGAAAAATTCTCCTGTGAAAGCTTCTCATCCAGGGCTTTTGTTTCCTGGGATTTTTAAAGAAATATATTACTGATTCTATTTCACTAGCTGTTATTGGTCTGTTCTGGCTTCCTGCTTCTTATCCAGTTTGGAAGATTATACATTTATAGTAATTTTTTTTTTAATTTCACCCATGTATTTAAATGTCTTGGCATATACTTGTTCATAGTAATTGCTTAATATTCTTTGCATTTCTTTGCTAATGGTTGTAATGTCTCCTCTTCAATTTCTGACTTTATTTATTGATGTCTTCTTTCTTTTTTTTCTTGACAAACCTGGTTAAGTGCACATCAACTTTATCTTTTCAAAAGTCCAGATCCTGGATTTGTTGGCCTTTTGCATTGTTCCTAATATCTCTGTTGCATTTAATTGCTCTATTGCTCTGATCATGATTATGTCCTTCCTTCCACTCACTCTTGGATTTGTTTATTGTTCCTCCAGTTCTCTTAGATGTGGGGTTAGTTTGTTTATTTGATTTTTTTCTATTTTTAGGTAGTCTTGTACTGCTCTGAACTTCCCTCTCATGACTGATTTCACTGTCTCCCACTGCTTTCACTGTGTTTTGTGTTGTAGTGAGTTCATTTGCATTTGTTTCCAGGAACATTTTGATTTCTTCTTTGATCTCATTGTTAACCCATTCATTGCTTAAAATTTTGTTATTCAGTCTCTATGAATTTGACTGCTTCTGAGTTTTTTCCTTGAGATTGGTTTCTAGTTTCAAGCAATTTTTCTCTGAAAAATGCTTGATATGATTTCAATTTTTGAAGCTTGTTTTGTATCTTATCAGGTGGTGTATTTTTGAAAATATTCTATGTGCATTTAAAAAGAATGTGCATTTTCCATATTTGGGGGATTTTTTTTGCACATCCATTAAGTCCATTTGTGCCATTCAGTGCCACAATATCCTGGTTGATGTTTTGTTTGGAAGATGTGTCCATTGTTAACAGTGGGGTGTTAAAATCTTCTACTATGAGTGTGCTGATGTTTCTATCCTTCTTGAAATTCCCCAAAATTATCCATATATGTTTGGAAACTGCTATGTTGGGTGCATATATGTTGTCAATTTTATGTCTTCTTTTTTTATTTTATTTATTTTTTTAAATTGATTATGCTGTTATAGTTGTTCTATTCCCCCCTTCATTCCCCTCCACCCTGCCCCCCATCCCCACCATTACCCCCCTTTAGTTTATGTCCATGTGTCTCAAGTCCTTTAGGTTCTATATTTCCCATGCTATTCTTGCCCCCCCATCTATTTTCTATCTACTGTCTATGCTACTTATTTTCTGTACCTTCTCCCCCCATCTCCTCCTCCCACTCCCCTGTTGCTAACCCTCCTTCAGATCTTCATTTCTATGTTTCCACTCCTGATCTAGCTGTTCTTTTAGTTTGCTTTTGTTTTAGGTGTGGTTGTTAATAACCGTGAGCTTGTTGTTCTTTCACTGTTCATGCTTCTTTAACTTCTTTTTCTTAGATAAGTCCCTTTAACATTTCATATAATAAGGGCTTGGTGATGATGAACTCCTTGAGTTTGATCTTATCTGAGAAGCACCTTATCTGTCCTTCCATTCTAAATGAAAGTTTTGCTGGATAGAGCAATCTTGGTTGTAGGTCTTTAGATTTCATGACTTGGAATATTTCTTTCCAGCCCCTTCTTGCCTGTAAGGTCTCTTTTGAGAAATCTGCTGACAGTCTGATGGGGACTCCTTTGTAGGTGATTGTCCCCTTAGCTCTTGCTGCTTCTAGGATTCTCTCCTTCATTTTAATCTTGGCTAATGTAATTATGATATGCTTTGGTGTGTTTCTTCTTGAGTCCAACTTTTTTGGTACTCTCTGAGCTTCTTGGATTTCTTGGAAGTCTATTTCCTTTGCCAGATTGGGGAAATTTTCTTTTATTATTTGTTCAAATAAGTTTTCCACTGATGGTTGTGTCTTTCCCCCTTCTGGTACTCCTATAATTCGGATATTGGAGCGTTTAAAGATGTCCTGGAGGTTCCTAAGTCTCTCCTCATTTATTTGAATTCTTGCTCCTTGACTCTTTTCTGTTTGGCCATTATTTGCTTTCTTCTGGTCCACTCCATTGATTTGAGTCCCAGTTTCCTTTTTTTTTTTTTAAATATTTTATTATTTATTTATCTTTAGAGGGGGGGGAAGGAGAGAGGGAGAGAAACATCAATGTATGGTTGCCTTTTGTGCATCCCCTGCTGGGAACTGGCCTGCAGGGAACCGGCCTGCAACCCAGGCATGTGCCCTGACTGGGAATCGAACCGCGATCGTGTGGTTCGCAGGCCCGCGCTCAATCCACGGAGCTACACCAGCCAGGGCTCCCAGTTTCCTTTTCAACGCTATGGGTTTCCTGTGGAATTCCATTCATTTCCATTAGTTTAGCCTTCATATGTTTCTCTAATTTGTGGCTATAATCAACCAGATCTGTGAGGATCCTGATGACCAGTGTTTTAAACTGTGCGTCTGAGAGTTTTGCTATTTCTTCGTCGCTTAGATTTGTCTCTGGGGCTTTGAGGTCTTCCTGCGACATTTTTGGTCTGTTCTGGCCCTTTAAATGTGAGAAGCAGCGCCTTGGACTCCCAGGTCGCTGGGTTGTGACGCTGTATGTGGGGGCGTGGTCAGAGCGGGGAATGGCGGCGCCCTCTACCGCCGCTTGCCGCGGGGACGCTGGGCCCCGGTCCAATCGCCCACTCCCTAGCCTGTCCGCTCGCCCGCAAATAGGCAACTGCAGTCAACACGCAGCACCGCCTCCCCACTGTCTCCTCTGCAGTCGCTCACCCAGTGGGTTGCTCGGTCGCTCACTAGGTCCAGTCCTGCATTTGGAACCCACAAACCCCTGCGTCTGGATTCGCACGTCTGGATTCCAAGCCCGGGTCCGACTCAGTCCTCCTGTGCATCCCCTCACGAGACTCCGGTTTCGCCCCTTACCGGTCGGGCTGAAGAATTTGTTGTTAATGGACTTCCGAAAAGTTCAATTTTCCATGTTCTGGTTGTGTTTTCTGATGCTAATATTTAGTTGTCCCTAAACTTGGTTGTGTGAGAAGGCACGGCACATCCACCCATACCTCCATCTTGGCGGAAGTCAGCAATTTTATGTCTTCTTGATCAATCCTGCCCTTGAGTATTATGAACTGTCCTTTTGTGTCTCTTTTTCTGGCCTTTAATCTGAAATTTATTTTTTCTGATACAAATAATGCAAACCTAACTTTCTTTTCCTGTCCAATTGATTAACGTATTTCCTTCCAACTCTTTGCTTTCAGTTTTATAGGGCTTTTTTTTTCCTGAGGTATGTCTCTTATAGTTAGCATATATGCAGGTCAAGTTTTCTTTATCTTCAGGTACCCCATGTCTTAGGTTGGAGCATTTAACCCATTAACATTTACGGTTATTACTGATAGGTACTTATTTATTGCCATTTCCCCCTTTGTACCTGTGTTCTTTTTTTCTCTCACTCTTTTTCCTCATTTTCTTAAAGCAGTCCCTTTAGCGTGTCTTGTAATGCTGATTTGATGAAGGTATATTCTTTCATCCTTCTTTTGTCTGGGGAAATCCTTATTATGCTTTCCATTTTAAATGAGAGCCTTGCTGGGTAGAGTAGCTATGGTTGCAGGTCTTTGATTTTCATTGCTTGGAATCTTTCTTGCCATTCCCTTCTGTCTTGTAGCATTTCCATTGAGAAGTCAGCGACTAGCTTTGTTGGAGCTCCCTTGTATGTTACTAACTGTTTCCTTTTTGCTGCCTTTAAAATTTCTTCTTTATCGTTGAATTTTACCATTTTAATTATGGTGTGTCTTGGAGTGGCCTCTTTGGGTTCATCTTGCTTGGTACCCACTTTGGTTCCTGGGCTTGTGTGACTTCTTTCTCTCATCAAATTAGGGAAGATTTTTGCCCTGGCTGGTGTTTCTCAGTGGCTTAAGTACTGGGCTGCAAACCAAAGAGTCACCTGCTCATTTCTCAGTCAGGGCATATGCCTGGTTTGGAGGCCAGGACCCAGTAGGGGACATATGGGAGGCAACCACACATTGAAATTTTTCTTCCTCTCTTTACCCCTCTCTTTCCCCTCTGACTAAAAATACATACATACATACATACACACACATAAATAAATACAAACATAAATATTTAAAGAACTAAATGTATTTTCTATCATTTCATTGTCAAACAGGTTTTTTATCCATTGCTACTCTTCTTCTGTATCTGGTATCCCTATTACGTAGACATTATTATGTTTTATGTTGTGCTGGGGGTCCCTTGACCACTCTGTTATTTTTTAGTTTTTTTTTTCCTTTCTTGATCTTTCTTGGAATATTTTTTATCTTGTCCTGCATGTAACTCACTGATTCAATCCTCTGATTTATCTAGCCTGCTTTTAATTCCTTCTACTGTAATCTTCAATTCAAAAAGTGTATTATGCATTTCTTTCTGGCATTAATTGATAGTTTCTATGTCCTTTTTTATTGTGATGTTGTTCACAGTAAGTTACTTGTAACTTCCCTTTAATTGTTTCCAACCAAATAGTATGAAACATCTCACAAATTTGCATGTCGTCCTGGTGCAGAGGCCCTGCCAATCTTCCATGTATCATTAAAATTTTAGTACATGTGCTGCCAAAGTAAACAGTTTTCTATTTCTTGAACAAGTGTCCAATACCTTATATCTTGTAGTATCAACCCATACATTTTCTTCCTAAATTAATTACAATTATTAATTCTTAATAACCATGGTTATTGGTGCCAATTAAAGTAAATAATTAGCATTCTTTAGATTGATACTTTTATGAACACTACATAAGTTTCAAAACAGTTTTCCCCCCACTAGGCAAACAGATTTACATTTTCAAGAAACTCCTTTCAAATAAAGTAGAAGATATATTGTTGGGGATCACTCTGTGTGGTTTTGGAGACTGTAGCCCTGAAAGGGCAAAGCTTGAAAGGAGCTAGTAAGTTTCTCTGGAAAACCAGGTAACACTGGTGGCAGGAATGACCCAACTCTAACACTGAGGGTTCCTATGGGAATGAAGTCTGAAATGTACATTGTATTTTTTGAATCTTGTTCTGCCTAGCATAGCCCCAATAATATAAACCAGATGTTTAAGTTCAAAGCATAAGGAGTTATCTCATGAAACACATTTTAAAGACCCTCTATTATCACCATGACTAAAAGATCCTTACCTATGACAAATCTCTCTTTTCCCTCAATTGTTTTCTGTAGATAATACCTATTTTTGTATGACTATAGCCTTTTGACATTGGTTGATAAGCTATGCATGTATGCAGCATACCCCTACACATACCATTCCCAATAAAAGCTTTTTGGGAGAAGAGCTTGGGGTATTCCCCACTAGAGGGAATCACCACCCCCTTTCCAGGTGGAACAAAAAGATTGTGTCTGGGATGATTTAGTTACCATCTGCAGCAGCCAGGACAGCTCTGCAAAATGGATTTCTCTTATAATATATTTGTTAACAAAACCAAATACAATCTCTAAATTTTCTGCATTAAGAAATCAAAAGCAGCAAACTGAAGATGGTGACAGAGTAGGACAAAGGGGATTCCCTTTCCTTGTATACATGGGAGAGGATCCTGGCTGATCTGCAGAGGAGCAGTGCAGACAGCTGTCAGTTCCCCAGCATATATGAAAATAAGGGACCAGAAATTGTGACAGTCATGGAGGATCCAGATGGTAGGGAGATGGCAGTGGTACAGTGGAGTCTCAGGGACTGGAGCAAAGACAGAAGCAGCAGGGACTTCGGCCAGTGCACAGTCCAGGGCCCAGTGCCCGGTGTGCCTCAGTGGGCACCCAGTGCACCTGGGTTGGTACCCAATGCTCAGGACCGGCTCCCGGCGCATCTCCCTTGGACTCCTTGGGAGACCTGGGCCTGCTGAAGGGTCCTTGGGAGAGAGCTGGGTTATCAGCTCCCTCCCTCTATAGCCAAGCAAGGTTGGGCACCAGGAAAGACTTGTTTGCTAGAGTTTGCAGAGAGGGTGCTGAGGAAAAAGGGCAGAGATCAACCTCAGACTCTGTGATTGCCAGCCCTGGAGAACTGAGAGGCTCAGTGTAGGGCTCTGACTCTGACAGTCATGGGCATGGCTGGGGGAATGGGCTGTTCTGAGAGGTAGGCTTGCTAAAGGGAACGTTTTTGTCATGTAAACTGAAGGTTCCTTCTACTACAGCCACCTGGTCTGCTCCCCACCCAGCCTGGCAGCAAACCTGAGGTTGGGCGGAGGGCCTGGCATTCCCCCACAGAAGTGGGACAGGTCTGCACCCAAACCCACAGGAATGAGGCAGCCAGGCCTGCATGCATGCATCCCACAACCCAGCGCACAGTGATAACCCCCAGGAAAAGAGCACTATGAGAAAGTCCTAGATCCCCTTCGTGGGATGCTGGGGAGAGTTGCCTGTTTGGCTCTTAGGAGAGTGCACTTGAAGAAAGACCACACCAATCGCCCCTCGTCCTGCTGCAGCCATAAAAACTGGTTTGGCCAGTTTGAAACCAACAAGAGATGTTTTCTTTTTTTAAGTAATCTTTTATCTTTTTAATTTTATTATTGTTTTATCTTTCAATACTTCTTTCCTCTTTTCTGTGTTATTCCTTCTTCCTTTCTCCTCAAACTTATTGCTTTTTCCTACCTTCTCCTGCCTTTTTTTTCTTTTACCCACAAGTGACACAAACAGCTTGGGACTGTGAAAAGACCAGAGCTGGAACCAAAGGAGAGGCTTCTCAACAGTAGAGTCAGAGAGACAACTTTCACTATGCTATAGCAGAGAAGCCACAAGTTGCTGCATATTTGTATTATTAGTTTTTCATTATTCTAACTTTTTTATTTTTTTAAAGATTTTATTTATTTACCTTTAGAGGGGAAGGGAAGGAGAGAGGGAGAGGAACATCAATGTATGGTTGCCTTTCGTGCGTCTCCTGCTGGGAACTGGCTTGCAGGGAACCGGCCTGCAACCCAGGCATGTGCCCTGACTGGGAATCGAACTGCAATTGTCTGGTTTGCAGGCCCTCGCTCAATCCACTGAGATACACCAGCCAGGGCTTATTCTCCCTTTTTATATTTTAATAGTATCTTTGTATTCCTCCTATTCTGTATAGGCTTCTTTGCCTTGGCTGATTATATTATACCATTTGACAGGTTTCCCCTGTTCTCTCCTCCACAGTGTATTGCTAATTTTCTATACTTCACGTCACTTGTGTTCTTTTAGCATACTACCCAAAGTTCTACACCCCCTATTCAGACAGATCACATAGAGTCTGTTATATGACCATTGCTCTAACATTATTGTAAATAATACCTGTTCTATACAACTGTAAATACTTCACAACACATCTCCCGGATCTTAGTCCACTTCAAAGTTTCCTGAATTTTATTACTGGAGTAATTAACTCTATTTGCTCATATACTACATATATTTACTAACCTTTACTCTCATCTTAACCCAGAATCTGACCAACCACAACCTCGCTGCTTTCTAGATCCAACTCATTAGCCTTCCGTCTCCAACAAGAGACTTATTTTGTGTCCATCCTCTCTTAAAGTGGCAAGTTGGGTTGAAGATTATGGTTAACACTGTACATAGCCTAAAGATCTTCTATCTATTCTCTACTGGCTCTGACTGTAAATATCATAAAATAATCTCTCACTCTCATAAACTATTTTGCCTACCCCTCCAACTAATCACACACACAAAACAAGTAGGTGGAAGCAGAGAACTGAAGGAGACTGCACCACTGAATTTCACAGGCATTCCACCGCAGAAGTTCACATTCTCAGAAAGAATGTCAGATGAAATAGAGGCAAGGCAACTATCACATATTGAATTCAAAGCACTGGTTATCAGGAAATTCAAAGAGCTCACAATAAGCTACCAGAAACTACAAGGAAACTACAACAAACTCACCATAAACTATATGAACATAAAAAAGTATGAACTATCAGCAAAAAAAAGAGGATATGAAGAATATGATCTCTGAATTGAAGAACACAGTAGAAGGAATCAAAAGCATGAAGCAATAAGTAGAAGATTGGATCAGCTGAGCTGAAGGACAGAGAAGAAAAACACTCACAGAAAGAGCAAGAAAAGGAAAAGAGGCTCAGAAAAAAATAAAGAGGGATTAAGAGAAACACAAGACAATATGAAACATAATAATATCCAAAATAATAGGGATACCAGAAGGAGAAGAAGAAGAACAAGGGATAGAAAACCTATTTGAAAAAATAATGAGGGAAAATTTCCCTAAATTGGTGAGAGAAGAAGTCACACAAATCCAGGAATCCCAGAGAGTCCCAATCAAGAGGAAAACACAGAGTTCCACTTCCAGATACATCATCATTAAAATGGCAAAATTCCAAGACAAAGAGAGAATCCTAAAGGCAGCAGGGGAGAAAAAAAAAAAAGTAACATACAAGAGAGTCCCAATAAGGTTAGCTACTGACTTCTCAATGGAAAAACTCCATGCAAGAAGACAATGTCCAGAAATATCCAAGTAATGAAAACCAGAAGCTTAAAACCAAGGCTACTTTACTCAGTAAGGCTCTTAATCAAGATAGAAGGCCAAATAAAGAGCTTCCAAGACCAAAGAAGTCTAAAAAATATGCCTCCACCAAACTAGCCCTACAAAAAATACTAAAAGGACTATTTTAAGGAAAGGAAGGAAAAGAGAGTGATGGAGAGGAACACAGGTACAAAAATGGCAATGAATAAGTACTTATTAATAATAACCTTAAACGTAAATGGATTAAATGCCCCAATCATAAGGAACAGAATAGCTGAATGGATTAGAAAGCAGGGCCCACACATATGCTGCCTACAAGAGACCCACTTCAGAAAAAAAGACCTACACAGACTAAAACTGAACTGCTGGAATAAATTTTTCTAAGCAATCAAGCAAGAAAAAAAGCCGAGGTAGCAATACTCATATCAGACAAAATAGACTTCAAAAAAGGGGCCATAAAGAGAGACCCAAAATGTCACTTCATAATACTCAAAGGAAGAATCCATCAAGAAGACATTAACATTATAAATATATATGTACCCAACATAGGAGAACCCAAATATATAAAAAAAAATTCTAGAGGACTTCAAGAAAGATATTGACAACAACACAATAATAGTAGGGGATTTTAACACCCCACTATCAAAAATGGACAAATCTTCCAAACAAAATATCAACAAAGATATTGTGGCATTGAACAATGCCCTACATGAAATGGACTTAACTGATATATATAGAACACTTCATCCCAAAGAAGCTAAATACACATTCTTTTCAGATGCACAGGGAAGATTTTCAAAGATAGCCCACATGATATGAAACAAAATGAGCCTCAAAAAATTCAAGAAAATTTAAATCACACCAAGCATTTTCTTTGACCACAAGGGAGTGAAACTGGAAACCAATCCCAAAGGAAAAAAAAAAAAACAGTTAAATTCATGGACATTGAATGACATGCTATTAAACAACAAATGGGCCAAGAATGAAATTAAAGAAGAAATCAAAAAGTTTCTGGAAACAAATGAAAATGAACTAAAAACAACCTAAAACTTATGGAACACAGTGAAGGCAGTCTTGAGAGAGAAGTTCATAGGAATACAGGCTTACCTAAAGAAGACA